TTTCCTTCAGTACAGAATTAGGAGAGAAAAGTATATTGTTATTCATTCTGTTTCTAACACTTCTGAAGAACGAATATAGCATGAGGTTTTAGGCTAAGGTCTGGCATTAATTAATTAAAATTAATTTCCTCAAGATCTTACACAAAATAAACCAAACTTACCTTTCTAAATTTACCTCCCATCACTAACCTACAGTTGCTCCACCTTCTACAAATCAGAATAGTTCTTTCCCTGCATATTCCTCAGTTTTCTGTCCCTACAGTTACCTGGGATATTCTTGCCCTATCCATGACCCCTCTCTATCTGAACCTTTGTAACTACCTTTGTAACTGACAAAGGATTAGTATCTACAATAGAAAAAGAATTCTTAAAAATCATTAAGAATAAAAGTCCAATTTTAAGAAAGGTCCAATACTTGAATACTTTACAAAAGAATAAAAAATTGTATAAACACATGAAAAGATCCTCAACCTCATTAGTAAACATGGAAATTCACATTAATATTATGAGATACCTTTTTATACCCACCAGGTTAGCAAATATCAAAAAGTCTGACAATATCAAGGGTCAGCATGCATTTGGCACAATCAGAACACTCATCTGCTGGTGGAAGTCATGGAAGTTGGTAAAACCACTTTGGAAAACAGTGTGGCATTATCCAGTAAAGTTGAAAATAGGCATGCCCTATTAAATATAAACCCTGGGAAACCCTTGAGCATGTGCTTAGGAGGCAGGTACAAGGCTTGTTCTGGACAGTATCATTTGTAATAGCAAAAACATGAAAGCAGCCTAAACGCTTGTCAACAGTGTAACCGGTAAATAAATTATGGTGCATTTATAAATTGGAATATTATGGGGCAGCAAAAATAAACCAACTAGAATAACAATTACCTACATGAATGAATGTTTGAAACATAGTACTGAATGAAAAAAGTTTCACATAAGAAAATATACATAATGATTTCATCTATGTAAAAATCAAGAAAAGCCAAACTTAAATAAAATGTTTTGGCAAAAATTATATAAGGCAAAACTGTATCAGTAAAAGCAAGAGAAATAAAAGAACAAAATTCAGGAAGGCTGATGAAAAGGACTGAGGCCAGAGAATGGTACATGAGAACCTCAAAGTTGAGGCTATTATTCCAATTTGTAAAACAGAGCAGTAGGCTTATGAATATTCATTATGTCATAATTCTTTTACAGTGTCAACTTCACATTTAATAAATATTTAACACTTTCAAAATGAAGCAACTTCCAAACCCTTCTGTCCCAATGGACCTCAGATAGCTTCTCCCAGAAGAAGGGTGACAAGCAGGAGAGGCACTGGATGTGGAACGTAATAGAATTAGGTTTAATCTTAGATACGTTATTTTACCTATTTCCTCCTCAGACTTGATGTGAGAAGTAAATGAGGAAAATGCATACCAGGTACATTGCAGATACTCAGCAAACGTTCATTCCACTTTCTCCCAAGGCCCCAATCTCTTCCTGCTTCGTGCCTCAATCATGTTCACTCGCCCTGCTCTACATGGAATTGGAATTATTTGTAGACTGACTTTTAAATCCCACCCCCTACCACGAAATCATAAACTCTTCATGGGCAAAGATACATGCATAGCATCTAACGGACACTCAGTTTTGTTGAATAGGATTGAAACAGCAAAACCCAAAAGTAAGAATTGGTATTCCCTTTGAATATTCTCTTCCAATTTGAAGATAAATATTTTTTAAAGTAATTTAATTGAAACAAATAAATTTGGGGAAAACTCCAGAAAGGTTTTAAAGTTCTCGAAACAATTGAAAACCGCAAATATTAAAACACTTGCCCTCTTCTTATCACACCTTCATATTCTAAATTACTTGGTAAAATAACAAAGGTTTATACTAATATTGAGTTAAGATACCTTTCACTTACGAATCTCTGATTTTACCAGAAATCTTGTTTTGCCCATTCCTTTTCATCCCCAACTATGGAATATTTTCTGTTCATTTCTGCTAATTTCTTTTTGACATGTTATCAGTAATAATACAATGGTAGTAAATTATATTTGAGTAGCACTTTATACATAATCTCATTTGATCTTTATGAAGAGTCAATAGGACAAAAATTTGCCTAAGTCATGCGCAGAGTCAAATTTGAACCCAGGAATTTTGCCACTTATGGAATGTGCCCTTTCCATTAAACGTTCACGCCTCTGTTTTGCAGATCCGAAAACGCGCCTTGGAAAGTTTCATGACGAAAAACAAGGAGGCAGGGGTTGTTTTTGGTTCTCTGCCTATATATAAGGTGAGTTGAATGTTTCTTAAACCGGAGTGGTGACAGAACGATAGGCATCTGACATCTCCTTCCTGACAACGGGCTACCAAGCAAGGTTGGAGAAAATCACATCACTCAGCTGACTGATTCTTCCATAAACAAGCTGTGTCCGATCCCAGAGAAGTCTTGCGTTCTGTGTGTCAATGGCCTTGATCACTCGTCTCTGGCATTCCACATTGAACCATACTACAAGAAACTATTTTGAACTTGACTCGGCTGTTCATCACCTACAGGATAAAATCCAAATGCTTTTAGCTTGGCATACAAACCTTGCGTAATCTGGCCTCTGCCTGAACTGTGTAACTTCATTTCTACCACATTCTGCCATATACTCCAGCTATGCCGAATTACTTGCTGTTCCTTAAGCATCACAATTCTCCCCTTTTCTGTGGCTTTGCTTGTGCTGGATCCTCTGCCCAGAATTCACCCACCCATGTTCCCCTCCAAATCCTTACTCATCCTTCAANTATTTTGGACAGAGAAGGCTCTTTGACATATCAGTGACAAGTGATTTCATTTTGCCTTGTGATGTTAATGAATGTCCCATAGAAATAAAAGAAGAAAACAAGTTCACAGAGAAGAAACAAAAATATGAATATCCTCTGGTATTTGACCAACAAAGGTAAGACCATGGAATTTACTTTAGATGACAGACAAGAATTAAACTACTAGGATACTGTTAAATTGTGTTAGACATGGAGAATTCAAAGGTGAAAAGACTGAAACTTTTCAATGATTTTGCAATCCAGTGGAAGGATGCACAAAAATCTATAATTCAATATAAAAGCTAAGCGCATCACATCTTAAGATAATCACAAAGGGGCAAACAAAATTTAAACAAAGAAAGAAGACCACAGAGGCAACTGCCTAAGCAGAGGCACAAAACAATGAAAGACTATCATAGAGTCTTTCAAGACTTGGAGTCCAGGGAGAGAGTAGGGAGGACATGTAGACGATAAAGCAAGAAAAGTCTACAGGGGCTAAAGCAAAATAAGCTCTTTTTATGGGCCCGCATAAAGATTTTAAACTTTACTGAAATCATTGTGACAGAATACACAAGAGAAAAAGCAGGTCTGAAGAAAAAGATAGTGAGTTTGGTTTTGGACAGGTTGAAATCTGAGATGCTTGTGGGGATATTTAATGAGCATGGAGATAGACCTGTTTGGAGCTCTCAAAAGAGGTCAAAACTATAGGTAGAGATTTTGAAGTCATCAGCATAGTAATAGTCTTGCTGTGGCTAAGTCACTTAGGTCTTGTGTGTAGCGTGAGAAAAACAGAAAACTAAGGGGAGAAAAAGAATCAAGAAACAATAGCCTCTAAAGAGCAGGCCAAAGAAGTGAAACAAGTGGGAAAACATTAAGATGGAATAGCCAAGATGTTGAAAGGAAAACCACAAATGAGCGGTATGCTGGAAATCAAGGGAGTAGAGTTGTAAGGAAAGTGATAGAGGGGACGCATTTGTAGAACATGGCAGTGAAGCAACGTAGGACAATAGAAAAGTAAACATTAGATTTGGCATGTTGGTCAGCTGAAAGGACATTGACGAATTTAGAGAGGGTAATTTCAATGCGGTGATGGGTAAAAATCAATGCAATGGTTCAAAAATAAATAGGAGATTGAGGTGATGCTAGTGTAGAATATTTTCTAAGGACGTCAAATAGCTCTGAGGTTTAAGAAGGGTTTGTTTCTTGGATGGGCTTGTTTGTGGGGGGAGACTTGAGCATGCTTAAAGGTTCAGAGGAGGAAGGATAGTTCCCCAATGGGGAATAGAATGTTGGTGAAAAGCTGTTTTGTGCTTTTGCAAAGCTCAGCTCTGGTTTTGACTATGGCCAAATCTTTGTCATAATGAAATGGTGCTCATTTGAGCTCTCAACATCAGCAGAGCTCAACCCTAGATTATGGTTATCCAA